TGTTGGATTTTATCAAATGCCTTTTCTGCATCAATTGATATGATCATGTGGTTCTTCTCCTTTGTTTTATTTATGTGGTGGATGACGTTGACTGTTTTTCTAATGTTGATGCATATGCCTGATATGAACCCCACTTGGTCATGATGAATGATTTTCTTGATATGTTGCTGGAGTCTGTTGGCTAGGATTTTGTTGAGGATTTTTGCATCTATATTCATGAGGGATATTGGTCTGTACTTTTCCTTTTGAGTGATGTCTTTGCCTGGTATTGGTATCAAGGTTATGCTTGCTTCATAAAATGAGTTAGGGAGGAGTCCATCCTTTTCTATGTTTTGGAATAGTTTGAGCAGGATCGGTATCAGTTCTTCTCTGAATGTTTTGTAGAATTCTCCGGTGAAACACCCAGGCTTTTTTAAGAAGGGTGTTGTTCAGTTTCCATGTGTTTGCTCTTTTTCCATTGATCTTCCTATTGTTGATTTCTAATTTGATAGGATTGTGATCTGAGAAGACGCTTTGCAGTATTTCAGTGTTTTTAAATTTATTAAGGCTCGCTTTATGGCCTAACATATGGTCTATCATAGAGAATGTTCCATGTGTACTGGAAAAGAATGTATATTGTACTATTGTTGGGTGAAGTGCTCTGTAGATGTCTATAAGGTCAAGTTGGTGGATTGTATTGTTTAGCTCTTCTGCGTCTTTGTTGAGTTTCTTTCCAGTTCTATGTTTCATTGAAAGTGGTGTATTAAAGTCTCTCACTATGACTGTGGAGTCATCTATATGCCTTTTCAATTCTGTTAAAATCTGATTATGTATTTTGGGGTTCTTTCATTGGGTCCATAGATATTTATTATGGTTATATCTTCTTGTTCAGTTGATCCTTTCATCATAGTATAATGCCCTTCCTTGTCTCATATGTTGGTTTTTATCTTAAAGTGAATTTGATCAGAAATTAATATTGTGACTACTGTTTTTTTGGTTGCCATTTGCTTGACACTCTTTTTCCAGTCTTTGATTTTTAGTCTGTTTTTGTCTTTGTTTCTAAGGTGTGTCTCTTGTAGACAGCATATTGATGGGTTTTATTTTCTTATCCAAACTGCAACTCTCTGTCTCTTGAGTGGTGCATTTAATCCATTAACATTCAGTGTAATTATCAACAAGTATGAATTGGTTGCTGTCATGAATTGGTTGTTACGTGTTTTTTCATGATGTTCCTGGTTCCTTTGTTCCATATAATTTTATGTGCTGAGCTCATTATGTTTATGAATCATGTTATCATTTCCTTTCTTGCTATTGTTTTAGTATTTACACTTGTCCTGTATTTTATTGTGTTGTGAAGGTTTATCATTTTTCTTTGAGGTTACCCTGTGATTTATAATTTTCTCTCTGAGTTTAGAACAGTCCATTCTATCTTGCAGTTCTTTTGACTTCCTCACCATTTATACGTTCTGAAACTACACTATTTTTTTACTCTTTTTTGTTTGAAATTGTTCTCATTTGACAATTGATGTCTCTGGTTCCCTGTTTACATTTGTGTAAGCTTCTTTTACTTTGGATGTGTCCATACTTGTGTTGGTTTCTGGGTTATGTCATCTTGTGTATTAATGGTTGGTTGTTGTTTGCTATTATTGGTTCTCTGTTCAAAGCACTCCCTTTAGTATCTCTTGTAAGGTTGGTCTGGTTTTAACAAACTCCCTTAGTTTCTGCTTATCTGTAAATCTCCTAATTTCACCAGCATATTTGAGGGACAGTTTTGCCAGGGAGCTCTGGTAGCATAGTGCCTAAGGCACTTGACTGCTAACCAGAAGGCTGGCGGTTCAAACCCACCAACCACTCCTCGAAAGGAAGGTTGGGCAATCTACTTCCATAGTGATACTGCCTCAGTAACCCAAGGAGGGGTCACTATGAGTCGGGGCCGACTGGACGGCACATAACAACAACAACAAAACAACATATAATTCTTGGTTGAATGTTTTTCTCTTTCAGGGTTTTATATATCCCATCCCATTGCCTTCTCACTTGCATGTTTTCTGCTAAGAAATCAGAGCTTATTCTTAGTGGTTGTCCTTTGTAACTTTTTGTTTTTCCTGTGCTGCTTTCAGGATTCTTCTTTGTCTTTGGTTTTGATGCATTTGATGATGATATGTCTTGGTGATTTTCTTTTGGGGTCTGTCCTGTTTGGGGTTCGTTAGACTTCCTGAAGGGATATACTCTTATCTTTCATCATATCAGGGAAGTTCTCTTCCAACAAATCTTGGACAGTTTTCTCAGTGTTTTTTTATCTCTTCCTGTTCTGGAATTCTAGTTACACGTAGGTAATTCCTTTTGATGGTATCCCACATGAACCTTAGGCTTTCTTCATTTTGTTTTGATCTTTTTTTGATTGACCCCTTTCGAAAGAAGTATTCAGGTATTTGTCTTCAGTCTCACTAATTCTGTGTCTTCCATTGATTCAATTCTGCTCCTTTGCCCTTTCAATGTGTTATCTATTTCTAAAAATTTAGTATTAATCTTCTGGATTTCTATCTGTAGATTTTGCATCATTTCTAATTTTTCTTTTCTTTTTGTCATTTTGTTCTTGTATTTCCTTCCAGAATTGTTCTAGGGTTTTGTCTGTGTTTTCTTTAATTTTGTCAGTGTTTTCCTTGTATCTCAATCCCTTGAAAATACCTAGATATAATTCTTCTGAATTCCTTATCAGGGTGTTCCAATGCTGCTGCTGCTTCAGGGATGTGTTCTGGGTCTGTATGTTGCTCCCTTGTTTCTATCACTTTATCTTGTTTCTTTGTGTGGACTGTGATGGTTTGTTATCTAATGTTGTTGTACTTACATCTGTGTTAACTGTCCCTGAAGAGCAGTAAGGGTGAGTCAGGCTGGCTCTTCTTGGTAGTGGTTTATCATTGGCCAGTTGGTGGAGAAGGAACTGGTGTCTCTCACTCAGTAATTGGAGCTGCAGGAGGTGTGGGTGTGGTTGCATTGTATGGGCAAGGTTGCTGTCTCCCAGTCAGACAAAAACAACAATCGAAAAACCATTAAAAACCTAAAAGCAAGCAGACAACAAACACACCGCATAAACACACAGGAACAATCACCAAAGAAAGGAAAAAGAAAAGAGGAGGAAAAAAATGGCAATATCTGGGGAGAGGGCAATAAGAGAAAAGGTAGGGTAGAATAATGAAGACAAAAATGAGAAAAATGCAAAAAAACAAGAACGGGGTTAACCACAAGAAATAAAAAAATGGGTACCAGAAAAAGAGAAGAAGCTGAAAACTAGAACCTAGGAAGGGAAGAATAAAGAATAATAATAATAATAAAGACAATGATAATAATAATTTTAAAACAGACAAAAACAAACTAAAAAAAGGGAGGTGGGATTCTGGGCAGGGCACCCAGGCTCCATCAGAGCACATAGACTGGGATGCCACTCCTGCCAGCCCATAAGATGGGTGGGAGTGATGGATGGCGGCACCTCTGTTCACCAAGAGGGTGTGGGGTATAAGAGTCACAAGGGGAATATCACACCTTTCCAGTTGTTGGTGTCCAGAATGGCCTTGTTGTTCCCAGCAAGTGGAGACTATTTTTAAGTCCCTGGAATCTGGGAGAACACTGTCGCTTTAAATGTCCAAAATCGTCAAACTGCTCATAAACATTCAAAATGGCTATGCCTTCCAGACAGGCAAAAGTCCACAGCCCAGCCTGCCTTCCTCTTTGCTGCTTCCCCTTTTATTCACCAGCCACTTTTGCAGTCTCTGTGCAGTCTCAGACTAGCAGGGCTGATTTTTAGGTTAATTCTTAGGTCCTAACACCACTGGACAATATCCAAGCTATCTGTGCCATCAGGATCACTGACAGACCGCAGCTCCATACGTCTCCTTTTTTCATGTTTTCATGCAAATTCTTCTATTAGTTGGAGTTTAGTCCACTTCTATATCCTTTCCTTCAGAACTCCAGGATTCCAGGATTATCTTCTGTATCTGTGTTAACTGGTTCCCCTTTTCTTTGTTGAAGAGGGTCTATGCAGTCTTTCTGCCCATTCCACCATCTTACCAGAACCATCTGGTCTTAATTTAAGGAGCTCTGGTGGTATAGTGATTAAAGCATTTGGCTGCTAACCAAAAGATCTGTGGTATGAACCATCAGCTGCTGCACAGGAGAAAGATGAGGCAGTCTGCTTCCATAATGATTTTACAGCCTTGACAACCCTGTGGGGGTCACTAAGAGTTAGACTCAATTTGATGGCAGTGAGTTTGGGGTTTGGGGTTCTTAATTTAAATGATTAAGTAATCTAGAAAATTCTGCTTTTCTTTATATATACAAATTTGACCAGTATGTATTTCTTGAGATATTTTCTAATGTTAATGTTAGTTTCTTACTGTTGGCCACTTTACTTTTTCAATCTTGTTACAGTACCTGTACCAACCAATGTTACAATTGAGTCCTATAACTTGAGTCCTGTTCTGTATTGGGAGTATCCAGTCATGGTGCCAACCCCTGTATTCACTGTAGAGGTAAAGAACTATCGGTGAGTGTTACTGTCTTATCCTTCTCATTCTGTTTTTGTTTAGCTCCTTGCACATTCCAGAGTCTCAGTGTTCTGCTTCCATCATCTTTCCTTTCCAAACAGCACGATTTACTGAACTGCATTTTGATAGGTGCCACTGAGTTGGCTCCAATTCATAGCGACCCCGTGTACAACAGAACGAAACACTTCCTGGTCCAGACATCCAGAAGTACTGCATTTGTTCTTTTCAGAGTACTACCTCTTCTTTCTTCTTGTCAATATTGAAGTAGAAAAGTATTACATAGTTGCAAGATTTTAAGATATGACTAATAAATCTTATAGTTTAGTATAAAAAATTATGATGTCATCTTAACTCCTTTGTAATGTATTTTTTAGTAGAAAGGTAAAAATTTCAAGGTGTGCTTTTTTTTAAAATAAGTTTTAGGAGTCTTTGCATCATGTTTGATTTTATAATTAACTTAAAATTATGTTAATGGAATGTAGATTTGTTTAAGAATACATTTTTAAATTAGGTGTGTAGTGTGGTTTGTATAAGTCTTATATTTTAAGTTGAGCCTCTTTATTGTAATATAATTGGTAGTACTTCTCACCAAAGAGCACCATTCTATTCTTTCTCGACACCTTCTATCAGCTCTATACTACAAATGAAAAGTAAAGCACAAAGAAGTTTGAAGTTTATATGTTAATCATAAAAATTACCGTTGTGTTTTGTTATCCCTCCTTGTTTCAGGAGTGGGGTATGGATTGATGCTTGTACAAATATTTCTCATCATCAGTGTAATATTTTTCATAAAATGGATGACCCATCAGATCCTCTTTGGGCCAGAGTTAAAGCTAGACTTGGACACAAAGAATCTGACTATGTGGAGTCCAAAGAATTTATTATATGCCAACAAGGTGAGTGGAGTGTACACACATCTGAATTTTAGATTTGAAAATACTTAACACAGGTTTTCTGTATATGTTTACCTTTATTACCAGTTGCAAAAAATATATTAAAATGCCCAAGAAGCATTTGGAGAGTCAGTGTCTTCCCCTTCTCCTACAAACCAAAAACCAAACTCACTGCTGTTGAGTCAGACCCGACTCACAGCAACCCTTCTTTGGATTTCTGAGGCGGTATCACTACGGAAGTAGATTGCCCAGCCTTCCTTCCGAGAAGTGGCTGGTGGGTTTGAACCATCAGCCTTCTGGTTAGCAGTCAAGTGCCTTAGGCACTATGCCACCAGAGCTCCCCCCTTCTCTTAAGCTCCACAAAATAGGGCCGAGGGACAGCCATTGCATTGCCTCCTCTTTGTCATGACATTTCCACCCATGGATGGATGGATCCAGTGCCATCCAGCCATGTGGTGTCACTGTTTTCTTCCCTGTCTCCTCTGCTATTCACTTCTAAGTTATGTTCCTTGAGGACTTTGGTGGCTGGCTTTCATTATTCTTCTCTACCTTAAGTCCTTCAACCCCTGGGGGAATATTAATATTAGCTTAATACCTTAAAAAAAGTTTACTTCCTTAATCTCCAACCCTAGTGATTTTCAGCTCTTCATTCTTCCAACATCCCATTCCAGTAGTATGTATACCTGATCTTTGTTGTTTGCTTCCAGTTCTTAAATCTTCTGTGTCAATTCTGCTTTCCTGACTGTGACATCCTATCTTGCAGCATTCAGACCCTGAGTCCTGGTAAAAGAAACCTCTAGTCACTTGACACTTCTCTTCTAGTCCTTCAGTCCTTTGCCTTCTAATTTCACTACCCTCCTTGTCAGTTTTCATGCTGTGTCATTTAGACCACTGCCTTGATTCTCTTCTTGCTTTTCAGTTTGTCCCTACTTGGTCTCTTCCACAGGCCCTTCCTCTGCCTACCATTTAAATATTTTTATTCCCCAGATAACCATACCATCTGTGTCAGGTAGTTTATTCTTCCACAAAGATTTATCAAGGGACTACTCTACTCGATGGTAGTTGGTTTTTGGTTTTGTTTGACTCTATACTCTGTACCAGAAAGTATGATAGGCCCTGAGGATACATTGGTGATAAAAATGGATTGGGTTGTACAACATGTAAAAGAACAAGTCAAACAACAGAATGAGCAGTCAAAAGAAATCAGAGCTCTGGTATCATATTGCCTGAGGCATTTGACTGCTAACCAGAAGGCTGGCAGTTCAAACCCACCAGCCACTCCTTGGAAGGACGATTGGGCAATCTACTTTCTTAGTGATACTGCCTTGGAAACCCAAGGAGGGGTCGTTGTGGGTCAGATCCGACTTGACAGCTGTGAATGAGTGAGTGCTGGGACTATTGTCCAAGTCTTTCCAACAAGTCAGTGTCATGAATAAAGGATAGAAGAAGAGAATTAGGAGTAGATTAAAAGAGATTTTAGAAATAAAACAATTAGATGCAGTATGTATATTCTTGACTGAATCCTGATTTGAACAAACCAGCTATAAAACATAGCTTTGGGAAAATATCTTTGCTGTGGAAAAAAATAGACAGATTGATGAAGCAAATATGGTATAATGTTTACTAATCATCAAATCTTGGATATAATTAGATGGTGTCATTACACCATTCCCTCTTTTTACCTGCATGTTAGAAATTTTTCATAATAAGACTTTTAAAAGGGAAAACAAGAAAAGGAATCTTCCTGCCACAAAGTACATGCTCAATAAATATGTGAGGAATGGATTATTAGTTCACCAAATGATCCCAAACATCAAAGACACATAATTAATATTTATTGAACAGATGAATAGCTAATTCTGATTTTTGCAGTATAAATTCAGTGTATTCAGCAAACTTACACAGCCACCACACCAGACATCCATGGGTGCTGGAGATAACAAGAGTTTCAGTGAGAGTTCAAAGATAACTAAAATGCTTTTTTCTTTGAAACATTTTTTTAGAAACCAGGTCTCTTAATTCATAAGAGCAAAGATGCTTTAATATTATTTGTATGTCAAGGTTTTTTACTGAGATTCATGGCCAATTGTTTTTCTCTAGGACTAAAAATGAAATTCAGCTACTGAAGAGAGTTTAGATTATATCTGAGTACTTCTTGTCTGAGATATATTGAGTATTTCTTTAAGGACAGTTAGACTGTCTTCTAGATCTTTGTGGGATAGTTTGGATGTGATCTTCCTTTAGAGCAGCAGCAACAACAAAGAGGAAGTTGACAGATTGATTTTGATAATTTTCTGAAATATTCTATAAAGTCCCAAGATCAAAACTAGTATTTTTTTCCCCCAGGGAGAGTTGGACCACCTAAACTCAGTGTCAGAAAAAAGGAAAACCAAATCATCGTTGACATATTTTACCCATTGATTATTATAAATGGAAAAGAGATGGGAACCGTGTTTGATTATGAAGATACTTGTTACGATTTCCTGTACAGTATGTACGTGAGAATTAATGGAAGTGAGGTATGTGTTTCTACTTCAGCTTTTTCAAAAGGAAAATTATTCTGTATGTAGTATAAATGTTTTCTTAATGCAGTGTAACAAAAGTAGAATGTTTATGAATATTCAGGCAAGATCAATTGATTATAGACTTACAAGGAAAAAGAAGCATGTGAATACTGTTTTGAAGAATTGGTATGGGGTTCATCAATAACACTAACCAAATAAATACATATAAGTCTTTTCTTTGCCAATTTTAGTAGCATGGTCCTAGGCTGGCATTTTAACTTATGTACCTCCTTCTGTCCTCTGCTAAGAAAAAGATAATTATAACCTTTTCTTCCTCATTGGTGGTGATGTATAATAATATGAAGGCATAATTGGAAGCTGAATTAGTAAGGGAAAGAGTAGAGAAAATGAGATCTCAGTGGGTGTGGACAGATAATACAAAGTCCATTATAAGGACTTTGGCTTTTACTTAGAGTGAAATGGAAGAAACACGGAGAGTAGAAAGGGCTTCAGTCGGAGGAGTGGAACAGTCTGACCTGTGTTTTAAAAAGATCAGGCTATGTTAAGAACAGATCGTGGGTATGAAGACCAGTGGCAAGAAGCCCAAATGTGAGCCCATGACAATAATCTAGGCCAGAGGAGATGATGGATTCAACCCAAATGATAGAGGTAGGGGTGAGGAGAAGAGGTCAGGCTCTGGGTCCGTTTTGTTGATGAATTAAAATGGCTACAGAATGACTAGGAAAAATGAGTTAAGCAAGCCTCTACTTTCCTGAGCAACTGGACAGCAATTCAAGTACTGTAATAACTAAGGAAGGCTACTAGCTTGGAAAATATCCAAGTGGAGACAGCAAGTAGACAGTTGGATAGGGATTGAGAATATGAATTTGTCCGTCATTGGCGTATATAAACATGTTAAATCATTGGTGTATACCTAAATACATGTGTATATATATTTATGTGAATCATTGACTTATACAAATATATACGTAAAGCCATGAGCCTGGTTGAAATTTCCGGGGGTTTGAAACTTAGAACTCAGCGCCCACTGGCTACCATCTACCTACTCACCTAGGTCTAAAAGTAGTTTTTAAAAAACTAGAGTCATCCTAGATTCCCTTTTCCCCACTGTCTGGTACACTGGACTTCTTGGAAGTGTTTCCCAGTTTAGCATCATGTCGTCATCCGGGCTTTTCATCCATTCTCTGGTAAACTGCTTGTTTTCTTCCCTGAGAGCACCATGTTCTGTCGTGGAATGCCCTTTGCCTGTTTCATTTGGAAATTTCTACTCATTCTTTAGATTCAGCTGGGTTATCACTGTTCCTTTGAATTCTTCCCTGATACAGTATATGATTTTCTCTTCTGTGATTTGGCTGTTCCTAGCTCTGGTGGTGGCGCAGTGCCTAAGGCATTTGACTGCTAACCAGTAGGTTGGTGGTTCAAACCCACCAGCCACTCCATGGAAGGAAGACTGGGCGATCTACTTCGGTAAAGATTAACTGCCTCAGAAACCCAGTGGGGGTCACTTTGAGGGCCTAGTGGCACAATGGTTAAGCGCTCTGCTTCTAACTGTAAGGTGGGCAGTTCAAACCTACATTGGTTCTGCAGGAGAAAAGACCTGGCAGTCTGCTCCCATGAAGCCTAGAAAAGCCTATGGAGCAGTCCTCCTCTGCCACATAGGGTCGCTCTGAGTTGAAAGCAGCTCAGCAGCACACAACAAGCGTTCCATGCACTATGTCTCTTCAGTTCCTCCTTATCTGTGACAGTTTTCTTACCTCTCTTCTGCTCTACACTGTAAGTTATATGCAGTCAGGTCCACTGTCTTTCCTTTGTGTCTTTGGGATCTAGCACAAGGGTACAAACAGTGCCTGGCACTATGGGTGGCCTGTGTGCCTTGGTTGGTTGAATGAATGATGAATTACCAGGGACTGCCTCAATCCCTCCTGTGTATTACTGCCAAGAGATCTGCAGCCACTCCGTCATATTATTATTCATATTCTTCATATGAAATGTTTTTCTCTCTCACAGCTAAGTTTCTAGCATGAGAAGCATAGGACAAGTGAATATTTGTTAGTTTAAGAACTAACTTGGATATCACAGCTTCTGTAACCTTCTTCCAAACATGTTCACTATGGTGATGAAAAACACCATAAATATATTCTCTAAAGGTGTTTGACAAGATGAAAATGGTGATATTTCTTTTCAGATTAAATGGAGTCACGCATTTCTGTTGTTTTTATGCAGACTACACATAAGGTAGAGGATTGCAATGAGACTCAGTGTCGGTCCAGTATTCCAGTGTCCTCCCTGAACGCCGAGTACTGTGTTTCAGCAGACGGCTTCACAGATAGATGGGAAGTTAAAACAGAAAAGTCAGAAGAATATTGTATTACCATTTCAGATAACACCACAACATGTAAGTTCCTGCCATTCTTTGTCTTTACTCTGGGAATTCTAAATAAAGGTAGTGATTACTAAAATAGGACAGGGTGGACAGAGGCAAATCCATGGTAATTTCAGTAAATTTCTTTTCTCTTTCAAATATATTCAGTAATTCCATCTACTAAAGAAGTATATTAAAACGTAATTCCTCAGCCATTAAAAGACACACACACACAAAAAAACAGTTTGGAAAGGAGTACAGTGACCTTTTGACCATGGAAAGAAAAAATATAACAAATACATACAACCATGCACATAAAGGTCGGCATTTCAGAGTTGTGCATAATAATAGGTCAGTTTGTTACTTCAGTGTGACATGATGCTGTGTATCCATTAAAATGACATTTATGAGGACTGCAGGTTTAAGAAAACAGGAATGTTCACTGATTACAACTGTGTAACATGTTAACTGGACAAGGACAAAAATATGCAAAAATAATTGGATCCATTTATGGGTCATTTTTCTAACATTTACAAATATTTATTTTCTTTCATCATCTTTACCTTGTGTGTCAGGGGGAAACATAATAGAACTTTAGAAATGGCATTCTAAAATGGCATAATGCAAATAATCATATCCTACTTAATGCTCAAAATTTGAGATAATGCAAATGTCTCTAGATTAATTTAAAACAACCTGAATTTACATTGGGATGATTCTGTGGCCACATGGTGGCGCCACTGTGGCTCATATGCAGAACTCGCTGCCTGCCCGTGTGAGAGCCTCACACACTGCAGTGTAGCAGCTCATGAAACTAACAACACCGGATTGGCGTTAGTTACGTCATTATTTTAACCTGTTGGAAAGGAAATTAGAGGTAATAGAATTCCACAAAGGTGGCCAAAGACCACCACAATACACAATACATAGTGCTACTATTTGTAAAAAATACTGAAGATTATGCTGAGAAAATAAAAAGAAGCATTAGAACAAAATGCACAATAGTGATTATAAATGTATCTTCCTTATTTTGTGTTATTAAAGCAAAAGGTCATTAAAGAGACAGGAAAGAAGGAAAAGGCTAAAATGGATGTCAAAAGAGTCTGAAACTTACTAGTGAATGGAGAGTAGCTAAAGCAAATGGAAGAAATGACAAGATAAAAAAGCTGAACAGATTTCAAAGAGCAGCTTGAGAAGACAAAGTCAATTGTTGTAAGAAATGTGCAAAGACCTAGAGTTAGAAAAACAAAATGACATAACATTTCTTGACCTTTCTCAAGCTAAAAGAACTGAAGAAAACATTCTAGCCTCAAGTTGCAATATTGAATGGTTCTATAGGCAAATTATTGAATGATGCAGGAAGCATCAATAGAAGGTAGAAGGAATACACAGAGTCACTTTACAAACTAGAATTGGTTAATGTTCATCTATTCGAGGAGATGGCATATGATAAAAAATCCATGGTATTAAAGGAAGTAGTTGAAGCTGCAGTGAAGGAATTGGGGAAAAACAAGACTCCAGGAATTGATGGACTACCCATTGAGAGATGTTTCAACAAAATGGATGCCTCACTGGAGTCTTGTCTGTGCCAAGAAGTTTGGAAGACAGCTACCTGACCAACTGACTGGAAGAGATCCATATTTTTACCTATTCCAAAGAAAGGTGACCCAACAGAATGTGGAAATTATCAAACAATATCATTAATATCATATGCAAGTAAAAGTTTGCTGAAGATAATTCAAAAATAATTGCAGTAGTATATTGACAGGGAACTTCCAGAAATGCAACTTGGATTCAAAAGAGAACGTGGAACAAGAGATGTCACTGCTGATGTCAGGTGGATCTTGGCTGAAAACAAAGAATATCAGAAAAATGTTTACTTTTGTTTTATTGACTATGCAAAAGCATTCAACTGTGTAGATCATAACAAATTATGGATAACATTGAGAAGAATGGGAATTCGAGAATGCTTAATTGTGCTCATTAGGATTCTGTTTATAGTATAGGAGGCTGTCATTTGAATAGAACAAGGGATATTGCATGGTTTAAAATCAGGAAGAGAGTACATCAGGGTTGTATCCTTTTACTGTGCTTATTCAGTCTGTGTGCTCAGCAAATAATCTTAGAAGCTGGACTGTATGAAGAATGTAGCATCAGGATTGGAGAAAGACTCATTAACAACCTGCGATGTGTAAATGACTCACCCTTGTTTGCTGCAAGTGAAGATGACTTGAAGCACTTATTGATGAAGATTAAAGACTATAGTCTGCAATATGGATTACACCTCAATATAAAGAAAACAAAAGTCCTCACAACTAGCCCAATCAGCAGCATCATGATAAATGGCGAAAAGATCAAAATTATCAAAGATTTCATATTACTTGGATCCACAATCAACACCCATGGAAGCAGCATTCAGAAAATCAAACATCATATTACACTTGGCAAATCTGCTGCAAAAGACCTTTTTAAAGTGTTGAAGAACAAAGATGTCTCTTTGAAGACTAAGGTGCATCTTACCCAAGCCATAGTATTTTCAATTGCCTAATATGTAGAAGGGAGCTCTGGTAGCATAGTGGCTAAGATACTTGCCTGCTAACCAGACAGCTGGCGGTTCAAACCCACCAGCCACTTCTCGGAAGGAAGGTTGGGCAATCCTACTTCCGTAGTGATACTGCCTCGGAAACCCAAGGAGGGGTCGCTATGAGTCGGGTTTGACTCGACGGCACATAATAACAACAACAATATGTAGAAAATGGGCAATGAATAAGGAAGACCAAAGAAGAGTTGATGCCTTTGAATTGTGGTATTGGCAAAGAATACTGAAAATACCATGGACTGCCAGAAGAACAAACCAGTCTGTCATGGAAGATGTGTAGCCAGAATGCTCCTTAGAAGTGAGAATAACCAGACTTCATCTCACCTACTTTGGTCATGTTGTCAGAAGGGTTCATTCCATGGAGGAAGGGTAAGGATATCATGCTTAGTAAGGTGGAGGGTCAGCAAAAAAAGGGGAGGCCCTCAACAAGATGGATTGACACAATGGCTGCAGCTATGGGCTCAAGTATAGCAAGGATTGTGAAGATGGTGCATGACTAGGCAGCATTTCATTCTGTTGTATATAGGGTCACTATGAGTCAGAGCCAACTCAACCACCCCTAACAATGTCAGTAACATAGATGGTTATTCAAGGTGACTTCATTGCTGTGCAACTTGTGTGTGTATGTGTGTGTGCATATTTGTAAGTATTTGCAATCTTAAAATAAAATGTAATAGACCATTCTGAGAAGTGGGACTAAATTATTTTGAGAATTATAAACATTGCCAGAATTTATATCTGAAGATGTATGTTTGGCATTCTTCTTTGCCCTTTTTTTTCTTTTTCAGTTTTTTTATTGTGATTAGACTGAAAGTTTACAGAGCAATTTGATTTTCCATAAACAGTTCATACACATTTTGTTTCATGACATGGATTGCAATCCCCATAATGTAACATCTCTCTTCCCACTTCCTCCCTGTGGTGACCTTTTCCCTGTGTTCCTCTTTCCTATGCATTCCTGCCCTTTGAGCTTTCTCCCTGTGCAAGTACTGTGCTTCTGAGCTCCCATGGTTGATTGTTCTAAACAGTATACCACCTGGTATAAATGCTAACGTTATACGCCTATTATTTGGCTGGGAGCTCTGGTAGCATGGTGCCTAAGGCACTTGACTACTAACCAGAAGGCTGGTGGTTCAAACCCACCAGACACTCCTTAGAAAGAAGGTTGGATAATCTACTTCCGTAGTGATATCACCTCGGAAACCCAAGGAGGGGTCACTATGAGTGGGTCCGACTTGACGGCACATAACAACAACATTATTTGGCTGGAAGTCAAGGTAGTAAGTTCAGTTCCAGGACCAAACGGTGACTCGGACCATAGTCTTGGGGGTTTCATTGATCTCTGACAGACCAGCGAGTTTGGCCTTGTTTATGATTTTGAATTGTTTTTCCACATTTTTCTAACATTCTATCCAGGATTTCCTATATTGATCCCTTTGTGAGTGACCGATAGTGGTAGCCAGGCACCGTCTATTTCTACCAGTCTCATGGTCATGTAAGCTGAGATTCACATGGTCCACTAGTCTCTTGGACTGATTTTAGCCGTGTGTCTTTGGTTTTCTTCATTCTTCTTTGCTGTGGACGAGGAGAGACCCATTCTTGCATCTAGATGATCACTTGCAAGCTTTTAAGACCCCAGTCACAACTCACCAAAGTAGAATTTAGAGCAGTGTTTTTGTGTAGTATGTTACGCCAGTTGAGCTTGATGTCTCTCTGACCATGGTTCCAAGCCCACAGGTCCAATAACTCACTGCATCAGGGTGGTTGACTGTACCTAACAAGTTACTGTTACTTTGTCCCCTGTTAGTTCTAGTTATATGGACATTCTTACAGTTTGTGCTTTTTTAAAAATTTCACTGTTTAAAATGCTCCCCAAGCATAGTGCTGAAATGCTATCTAGTGTTCCTTAAGCACAGGAAGGCTGTGATGTGACATACATAGAAAAGCCATGTGTTAGGTAAGCTTTGTTCAGGTATGAATTATGGTGCTTTTGGCTGTGCATTCAATGTTAATGAACCAACTTATATAAATAAGGAGCTCTGGTGGTGTAGTGCCTAAGGCATTTGACTGCTAACCAGAAGGCTGGCGGTTCAAACCCATCAGCCACTCCTCGGGAAGAAGGTTGGGCAATCTACATCTGCAGAGATACTGCCTCGGAAACCCAAGGAAGAGGGGTCACTATGAGTTGGACCGACTCGACGGCAGTGAGAGTTTTAAAGAGAAACACACAAAAAGCAAGATTATGTATCAGTTAGTTGATGCAAATCTTGTGACCAGAGGTTGCAGGAACCTAACTCTGTTTCCCCTAAGAAGAGTGGTTCAGTATGTGCTGATTTGGTGTTTACAGTGACCTTATAGACCATAAGTACTGTGAATAATGAAAATCAGCTATAGCAGTAATCTATCTTAATTCTAATTTGTGATTTATTTATTTTTTTTTTTAGATTCTGTCTGGATTCCAGTTGTTGCTGCTATCCTTTTCTTTCTAATACTTATTTTTGTAGTCATATGTTGTCATATTAAGAAGATAAATCCTTGTAAGAGAAAAAACACCATCTTACCCAAGTCCTTGGTAACTTATTTAAATGTTTACCTTTAATTATTTATACTAATATGTAATGTTGAGTTTTTTGACAATGTCTTAATTTTGTAGGATACTATACAGCTAAGATAGAATGATATTCAAAAGCATGTTGCCGACCATAAAGCACTTCATGTTCCTCAAAGCCACAGATTTTTTTTCTACCTACCAGTCACTTTTGTACGCACAAGCACAGTTAGACACATCTGTTAAGGAGCTTAAAGTCTAGTAGGAGAGAAATCTAACTGTGCAGTGGGGGTGCCATGTGATAAGTTCAATGCTAGAGGTTTATGTGAGTGCCAGTGAATATCTCGTCCAGCCTTAGGGGCAAGGAGTTAGTCATGGATTTTCCAGAGGCAGCAATGCCCAAGCAGCCTGGAGCAATAGATAGGTGTTTATCCAGGTACTCAGGGACAAAATATGCTAAGTCCCAGAGTCAAGAAAGCATGGCTTTTGAAGATCTGCAAACACAAAAGGACTTCATTGTGGTTGAGTATAGAAAGAAAGATGGCAAGAAATGAGACGAAAATAGTAGTTTGACATTTTAATATCTTAACATTTAGAAGCTTCATATGATGAAAAGAACATTTAAAGGTAACAGAATGATAGCTGTTTGAATCGAATATGACAGGAATAGTATCTGTGATTTGCAAAGGGCACATTTAAATTCATTATAGAAACACTGCCTTTGAGTACAATGGATGAAAAATATCAACAATTAAAATTCATCCTTGCTGGTAATTAAATATAAAACAACTTTGTGGAATGTCATTTTACACCCATTTGAAAAGGAAAAATAAACCTGCATATTCAGTAGGATGAGTGGCAGTAAAACTGATATATTCTGGTGAAAAGTAATACAGCCCAATATCCTAGTTATCTAGTGCTGCTATAACAGAAATGTCACAAGTGGTGGTTTGAACAAGCAAATTTATTTTCTCAGCATTGAGGAGGCTAGAAGTCTGAGTTCAAGGTGCTTCCTCTAAGGGAGGCTTTTCTCCTTTTGTCCACTGTGGAGGAAGATCCTTGTCCCTTTGAGTTTCTGCTCCTGGGTGATATTCCTGTGGCTTGGCATCTCTGTTCTCCCATCTCTGCTCCTCTTGCTAGCTTGTTTGATCTTCTTTTTATATCACAAGAGATTGGTATAAGACATACCCTACAATAATTTTGTCTCATTAACATAGCAAAGTCAACCCCTTTCCAGATGGGATTATAACCACAGACATAAGATCAGGGTTTACAACACATGTTTTTGGAGCACACATTCAATCCATAACATTCTACCCTTTGGCTCCCCAAAATTCATGTTTTTGCCACATGCAAAACACATTCATTCCATCATGTTCTGTGTTAGGTGCCATTGAGTCATCTCCAACTCGTAGCAACCCTATGCACAGCAGAACGAAACACTGCCTGGTCCTACACCAGCTTGACAATTCTTGCTATACTTGAGCCCATCACTGCACCCACTGTGTCAGTTCATCTCATTGAGGGCCTTCCCCTCTTTTGTTGACCCTCTACCTTACCAAGCATGACATAGTCCCTTCTGACAACATAACCAAAGTATGTGAGATAAAGTCTGGCCATTCTTGCTTCTAAGGAGCATTCCGGCTGCACTTCCTCTAGGACAGACCTATTAATTCTTTTAGCAGTCCACGGTACTTTCATCATTCTTCAAAGACACAACAATTCAAAAGCATCATTTCTTTTTCGGTCTTCCTTATTCGTCGTCCAGTTCTCACATGCATATGAGGCGACTGAAAATATCATGGCTTGTGTCAGGCGCACCTTAGTCCTCAAGGAGACATCTTTGCTCCTCAGCGCTTGAAAGAGGTCCTTTGCAGCCAGTTTGCTCAGTGCTATATGTCGTTTGATGTCCTAACTGTTCCTTCCATTGGCATCGATTGTAGAACCAAGCAATGTGAAGTCTTTGACAACTTCGATCTTTTCTCCATTTATTGTAACGCTGATTATACATCCAGTTATAAGGATTTTTGTTTTCTTTATACTGAGATGTAATCCATACTGCAGACTGTATTCTTCAGTCTGCATCAGTAAGTGCTTCAAGTCATTGTCACTTTCAGCAAGCAGAGTTGTGTCGTCAGCATATCACAGGTTGTTAATGATTCTTCTTCTAATCCTGATGTCACGTTCTTCTTCATATAGTCCAGCTTCTCGCATTATTTGCTCAGCGTACAGATTGAGTAAGTATGGGGAAAGGTTACAACCCTGATGTACTCCCTTCTTGATTTTAAACCATGCAGTGTCCCTTTGTTCTGGTCAAACGACAGCCTCCTGGTCTATGTACAGGTTCCTCATGACCACAATTAAGTGTTCTGGAATTCCCATTCTTCTCAACAATATCCATAATTTGTTATGATGCACACAACTGAATGGTTTTGCATAGTCATTAAACACAAGTAAACATCTTTCTGGTATTCTTTGCTTTGAGCCAAGATCCCTCTGACATCAGCAATAATATCCCTTGTTCCATGTCCTCTTCTGAATCCAGCTTGCACCTCTGGAAGTTCTCTGTCAGTATACTGCTGCAACCATTTTTGAATTATCTTCGGTAAGATTTTACTTGCGTGTGATATTAATGATATTGTTTGATAGTTTCCACATTCTGTGGGATCACCTTTCTTTGGAATGGGTACAGATATGGCTCTCTTCCAGTCAGTTGGCCAGGTAGCTGTCTTCCAAATCTCTTGGCATAACCGAGTGAGTGCCTCCAGTGGGGCCTCCATTTGTTGAAACATCTCAATGGATTTTCCGTCAATTCCTAGTGTCTTGTTCTTTACCAGTTCTTTCAGTGCAGCTTCGACTTCTTCCTTTAGTACCGTTGGTTCTTGATCATATGCCACTCCTAAAACGGATGAAGATCAGCCAGGTCTTTTTGGTACACTCTGTGTACTAATATACTCTGTATTCCTTCCATCTTCTTTTGATGATTCCTGCATCATTCAATATTTTGCCCATAGGCTCTCTCCATATTGCAACTCAAGGCTTGAATTTTTCCTCAGTTCTTTCAGCTTGAGAAATGCCGAGTGTGTTCTTCCCTTTTGGTTTTATAACTCCAGGTCTTTGCACATTTCATTATAGTAATTGGCTTTATCTGTTTTAGCTGCTCTTTGAAATCTTCTGTTCAGCTCTTTTATTTTGTCATTTCTTCCCATTTACTTTAGCTACTCTATGCTCAAGGACAAGTTTCAGAGTCTCTTCTGTCATCCATTTTGGTAATTTCTTCTCTTCTCGTCTCTTTAATGACCTCTTGCTTTCTTGCATGGTTGATGTTCTTGGTGTCATCCTACAATTCTTCTGGTTGTCAGTTATTGATGTTCAATACATCAAATCTATTCTTTAGATGTTCTCTAAATTCAGAAGAGATATATTCCACGTCATATTTTGACTCTCATGGACTTGTTTTAATTGTCTTCAGCTTCAAGTTGAACTTACATATGCACAGTTGATGGTCTGTTCCACAGTCAGCTCCTGGCCTGGTTTTGGCTGAAGATACTGAGCTTTTCCATTGCCTCTTGTCACAGTTATAGTCAATCCAATTCCTGTGTACTCCATCTGGCAAAGTCCATGTGTATAGCCACCATTTGTGTTGTGGAAAAAAGTTATTTGCAATGAATAAGTCATTGGTATTGCAAAATTCTATCATGCGATCTCCAGCATTATTTCTGTCACCAAGGCCAAATTTTCCAACTACCAGTGTTTCTTCTTTGTGTCCAACTTTTGCATTCCAGTCACCAGTGATAATTAACACATCTTGATTGCACATTCAGTCAATTTCAGACGGCAGAAGTTGATAAAAATCTTCAGTTTCCTCATTTTGGGCTTTGGTGGTTAGTGCATAAATTTGAATAATAGTCATATTAACTGGTCTTCCTTGTAGGCGTATGGATATTATCCTATCACTGACAGCATTGTACTTCAGGACAGATCTTGAAACATCCTTTGTGATGATGAATGCCATGCCATTCCTTTTCAAATTGTCATTCCCGGCATAGTAGATCATGTGGTTATCTGATTCAGAATGGCCAAAACCAATCCATTTCAGCTTAATAATGTCTAGGATGTCAGTCTTTATGCATTCCATTTCATTTTTGACAACTTCCAATTTTCCTAGATTCATACTTCATACATTTTGTGTTCTAGTTACTAATAGATGTTTGCAACTGTTTCTCCTCAAATTGAGTTCTGCTGTGTCAGCAAATGGAGGTCTCAAAAGCTTTACTTTGTCCTTATCATTGAGGTTAGTTCTACTCTGATGAGGCAGTTCTTTTCCAGTCGTATTTGGAGAGTCTTCCAACCTAAGGGGCTCATCTTCCTGTACTGTATTGGACAGTGTTTTCTAGGCTATTCATAAAGTTGTGCAGTAATGTATCAGACAGTGTTTCTTTGCTATTTGTAAGGTTTTATCTGGCCAATTCTTTGAGAAGTGGTTGGCCCTTTCCTTCTTTCTAGTCTGTCTCAGTCTGTAAGCTGCATTGAAACCTGTGCACCATGTGCAACCCTGCTGATATTTGAAACACTGGTGGCACAGCCTGAAGCCTCACAACAACATGCAAGCCACCACAGTACAACAAACTAACAGGGTTGTCTCCTTTAGCTGTTTGAAACCTCTCTGCCATCCCTTACCTGGATCCTGCCACTTTGTCGTTCCCTGCTTTCCCCCCTTTCCTGACTTTTGGAGTGGGGCCTGTGTCCTTCCCCTTAACTGGATCCTGCTGCTCTGTCTGTTGTCCCTGGCTTTCCCTGCTTCCTGCCTCTTAGGCTGGGGCCTGTGGCCCTGCTCTTACCTGGTTCATCTCATCATATCATCCCAAAAGTCTTAAATCAACTCCAGGTCCGAAATCTCATTTTTGGAATTATCTAAATCAAATGTGGGTACGACTTTAGATGTATTCCATCCTGGGACAAAATTCCTTTTCATCCGTAACCTGGGAAACATACATTACATGTTATCTGTATCCAGAGTACTATGGCAGAACAGGCACACAATAATCATGTCCATTATAAATGAGAGAATTTGGAGGGAAAGAAGGCATAAAGGGCACTAAGCAAATCCAAAACCTGGCAGAATATATTACCTTAGCTGTCAAGGCTTGAAAATAATGCTCTTTTCTCTAACACCATCTGGTAAAAGGCCCTATCCTCCAGATTCTGGGTGGTGACTATGCCCTTTGGATTCTGGGTGGAAGCCCCTTGGCCCTGGGCTTCAACTGTGCCTACCAGGCTCACTGGGATGGCATCTCTGCTGCCTTGACTTTGAGTGGCCCCATTCTCCTAGTCCATCTGAGTGGCACCCCACCCCATGGGCCCTGACTGATGTCATTCTTCTCCCCCTTTGACATCATAGCTCTACCCCCTCAGCTTTGGGCAGCAGCCCTATCACCCTGGCACATCTTAACAGCAGCCCCATGCTCCAAATCCAAGTTGGCAAAGAGCCATCTCTTTCAAACCTAGGAGGCTGTGACCTCATGCTTTGAGATCCAGGAGACCATGGCCTCACCCTTTAAAACTGAGAAGGCCTTGCTTCCCTGCTTCTTCCAGCTGTTCTGCTATGTCAGAGCTGCACCAGGATGGTCCTCTCCTTTTCTTGGAGGACAGCAGATGTAGCTCATATGGCTTATTTACTGCCTGTGGAATTCCAAGAAGCTGACAATGTTTCTTCCTTTCTTTCTCTGTTCCCTTTAATCTAAGCTAATGGGTTTTCTGCTGTAGTAGTTGGTTAGATCCATCAGTCACAGATGTAATCTTTTTAACAAAAGACTGTGTAGCCACATCCTTGTTGAGTATTCCAGGACATGTGTCCTTAGTTTGTACAACAGAATTTTCTGAATATTTTGGAGTTCTGTTTTTATTTTGCATAGTTTATTTTTAAGACCAATCTGTTTACTTTAAGTGTCAAAGAGAAACCACATGGTCCCTTTAAGATCTTGCTTAGAAATCTCATCAGTAGCCAAGTTTATCACTTAATTTCTCCCCTGGTAGCCATCAAAGAAAATTTCTTTTCTTATGAAATCTTTTTCTTGACCTTTTTACAATACTGTTCTCATACAATATTTGTACTTTTGTGATTGGGTAACTTCACTCAGCATATGGCCTCTAAATTCATCCATATTATGAGATGTTTTGCAGATTCATCTTTGTTCTTTAATGTTGCATAGTATTCCATTGTTTATATGTACCATAGTTTGTTGATCCATTCTTCCCTTGAGCATTTTGGTTGTTTCCATCTTTTTGATACTGTGAATAGCAATGAACATGAGTGTGCATGTATCTGTTTGTGTCACTGCTCGTATTTCTATAGGGTATACCTAGTAGTGGGATTGATGGATCATATGGTATTTCTAGTTCCAGCTTTTTAAGAAAGTGCCATACCATTTTCATCATTTTTTTAAGCCACGTTTCTAGCAGCATTCTGTTGCTGGCACCATATGTATTCTCTAAGGCAATAGAGACTTTCTCTGTAGCTCTCCCCACTTCCTTCTGAACCCTCATCAGAATTGCCTTTGAAGTTCATAATTCTACCAACAGTCTCTTCAAGGAAAGCTAGGCTTTTACTGTTAAGCACTTTAAAACTCTCCCAGCCTCTACTTACTCAATCCCAAAACCACTTGTATATTGAGTAGCACCTCACTCCTCATACCAAAATCTATTTTAGTTATCTTTGGCTTTTATATTTATTTTATTACAGAGGTTAAAAGCCTGAATTCAGGGTGGCTCGAGGGGAAGGTTTCCTCTTTTTATTGAGAAAGGTCTTTATCTCTTTGAACTTCTGCTCCTTGACAGTCTTCATGTGTCTTGGCATTTCTTCCACCATTTTTGTTCCTCCTGTTTGCTTGTTTAATCTCTTTTTATATCTCAAAAGAGGTTGATTTAAGACATACCCTACACTAATCCAGCCTCATCAACATAACAAAGACAACCCCTTCTCAAATGAGATTATAACTACAGGCGTAGAAGTTAGGATGTACAGCACATATTTTGGAGGGACACAATTCAATCCATAACACTATGGTTGGAAGAGCCACAAATATACCCTATTCTTTGCCTTAGTAATTTCACTGTTAAGAATTTATTTTAAGGAAATAATTTTATGAATGAAAAAATATATGAAAATACTCCATTCAGCATGTTCTATAGTAGTAAAAATTGTAAACACTTTAATATCTACTGTTAAATTATAATAATCAACATAAAGAAATAATATGAGCCACTGAAAATTACAAAGATGAAGGCATATAGTGAAAACGTTATAAAGTAAGTAGGTGTCTTCCTATTACAAATGTAGCATGTATGCATGTGAAAGCTAATTACAAAAAGCAACATGTGTATTGGTGACATGTGCAGACTTTTAAAAAATCCTGGGATGTGGGGGTGGCAACCACTTCATTCTATTTTAATGTTATACTAAATATGTCATTTAGTGGTATATTTAAGTGGTCCGTTATGCTTAGGTCACATTTTTTGAGGATTGGCACTTATGTTTATTAATTTACTATTTTTCTCTCCCTTAGCTCTCTGTTGTAAAACATGCCACTTCAGAGACAAAACCTGAATCAAAATATGTATCACTTATCACATCATACCAGCCTCTTGCCCTAGAACATGAGAAGGAGAACAATGAAGAGCAAATGTCTCCAGCAGCGATTCCAGGTGTGCATACAGAAGGCAATCCAGGAAAAATGGAGCATGCAGAAGCAGCTTCCAGTGGAATAGAAGTGGTAACTGCTGAAGAAAGTATTTCTGCCATGGTCCCAAAGAGCCATACAACTCCAATAAAAAGAGAGAATTCTCTCCATTCGAATAGCAACCAGTCTGAATCCTGCAGTGTCACTTTAAACTTGTACCACTCCAGAAAAGGTTCTGATAGTGGCCTTGTGGATGGCTTCTTACCTGACTCAGAGTTCCCCCCAAATAATAAAGCTGAAATAAAGACAGAAGGACAGGATTCCATAACACTGAGAAACACTGCCACCTCATTTGGTTATGATAAACCACACGTGATAGTAGATCTGGTTGGGGAGGATGGTGGTAGAGAGTCCTTGATTGGCTATAGACTTCCAACAGACTCCAAAGAGTTTTCATAAAGTCAGTTAAGATGCACCAAGTTTGAACTGGGAGCTCTGGTAGCATAGTGCCTAAGGCATTTGACTGCTAACCAGAAGGCTGGCGGTTCAAACCTACAAGCCGCTTCTCGGAAGGAAGGTTGGGCAATCTACTTCCGTAGTGATACTGCTTCAGCAACCCAAGGAGGGGTTGCTATGGGTTGGGTCCGACTTGATGGCACATAACAACAGCAACAAGTTTGAACTATCTGATTTCCTGACAGTTTTTGAATTCAGAAATCAAATCTTTATTGATAATAACTAGAGTGTCTTGTTTTAGATGAAAGTGTAAAAAGCCTGTGTGGCACTGTTATCTTTAACCTGAAAACTACAGAGAACATTGTATCATGTAAAGCACTCCTGCTTCATATGATGGTAGTTATTACCTCTGTCCTTTCTGGCCATTTAAAGAGCTGTAATGCTTTTTTTTTTTTCTTCTGTGCCAAGGCATGATGTTTGGTTTTTGAAAGCTGACATGTATAGCATTTTAAAATGCATTCTGAAAGCTTTTCAAAATTGTATTTAAAATCTAATTCTAACTAATTGACTAAACAATGTAAATACAGATGTATATATTTCTACGAGACATTGCATGTCAATATTTTTAAATAAAATATTTTAAACCTTATTTTTGTACTCATTTATTGAAGCATTTAGGCAGTCTTTCATAGTTAACCAGAATATATTTTTATCCTATCGTTTGTTTCCATGCATGAAAGCTATACTTATTTTCTAATTGTTCAGACCTAAACTTTAAAGTAATCCTAAAAATAGCCTCTTCTTTAAGAATGATCCTTTTGTATCTGTATTTCAATATTTAGTACCCAGTCTGCAGAACACAGTTCCCAGTGGTCCAGAAAGAACAAATTTAGCTACAATGCTTGTGGGTTTAGAAGCCTTTAGCATAAAGGTGAAGGGTCAAAGTCATGGGAGTGACTGTGGGAGCCCTGAGAAGCATGAGGAGTGAAGAGAGAATCACCAAAGAGAGGCCAACCAAGAGTTAATGTGTGTGTTATACAACTTAATGTCGAGTTGGACCCAACTCATAGTGACCCCTCCTTGGATTTCTGAGGCAGTATCACTATGGAAGTAGAGTGCCCAACCTTCCTTCCAAGGAGTGGCTGGTGGGTTTGAACTGCCAGCCTCTGGTTAGCAGTCAAGTGCCTTAGCCACTACACTACCAGAGCTCCCATTTTACAACTAGCTCTTGGGAATTAGCAAAAGGACAGAAATTTTAAGACCTAAATGAATTAATGGAGCAAAAAAAAATTTTAGTTTATATATGTAAATTAGCAGATATGCTTAGAATAAGTGTTTCTCCTTAATGGTGCAAATTAAAATGTTTTTTTTTTTTTTCTTCTATTTGGGGAAAAAAAACAAACGTGGTAAGTACTGCTAAAATTGTAGTGAAATACTTATTTTGGAAGAAATATATGTTTGGTATTTTGGGGTCATTGTTTCATTTTTGCATTTAATTCTTTGATCCATCTAGGTTTTTTTCTTCTCCCTAATAAGAAGTAAGATTAGGATCTAGGTTTATTATTTTTCCCTGATAAATTAGCCAGTTGTCCCAATATCATTGATTAAATAATTCTTTTCTGTGCTGATTTCAGATGTCACATTCATCACATGCCAGTATCTCAACACTTCTGGGACTGTTTCATTGTTCTTTCTTTTAATAGCTTTATAGTGGGATATCTTTTGACTTTTGAGACCTTCCCTAATACTGTCAGTCATTGTTCATTCTTCATCTTTCTTAGCAGTGATTGTTCTTTCAGGCTAACTATAGAAATGTTTGGTCAAGTTTCCCCAAAAATGTTGAAGATGTATTGGGATTTGTATTGATGGTATTGATGGGTTAACTTTTTCCAAAGCTGAATCTTCTATAAAAATGAGGAGTATCTCTCTTCAAGACTTAAGTTCTGCATTAGAATATTACACTTACGCAGGGCATTTGTTACTCGCTTTATTTCTTGATACTTTACATTTTGTGTTGATGGGGAGGTGATCTTGAATTATTTTAAGTGGTGTGTTACTCAGTTTGCTTTTTTCCCCTTGGTCTTCCTATTGTTGATTACTAAATTTCTAAATTTAAAATTACACACTGCCTATCAGAACGAGGTCCCAGGGGAGAGGAAAGGAAGCCAGGCAGGAAAGAGGGAGAGAAGAAAAACCCAAGGGGACTGGGACAGAGGGAGCAAGCAGCAGGGATCCAGGTAAGGGGAGGGACCCAGGCCCCAACCCCAAGTGGCAGGAAAACAGCAGGGATCCAGGTAAGGAGAGGTTGGACAGGTTTTGAAGCTAAGGGAGACAAACTTGTCTGTCAGTTTGTCATACTGTGGTGGCTTGCATGCTGCTGTAAGGTTTGAGACGGTGCCACCAGTGTGTCAAATGCCAGCAGGGTTGCACATGGTACACAGGTTTCAGCACGGCCTGCAGACTTAGACTAGGAAGAAGGAAGAGGCCATCCACTTCTCAAAGAATTGGCCAGGGAAAGCCTTATGAATAGCAGAGAAACACTGATACATCACCAGGCAACTTTATGCATAGCTTGGTAACATTGATACAGTGCAAGAGGAATGAGCCCCTTAAGTTGGAAGGCTCTCAAAATATGACTGGGAACGTTCTGCTTCATCAGAGTAGAACCAATCTTACCACTATGGATAAAGTAAAGCATTAGAGACCTCCATTTGCTGACATGGCATGACTCAAATTGAGAAACAGCTGCAAACATCCATTAATAATCAGAACATGGAATGTATGAAGTACAAATCTAGGAAAATTGGAAGTTGTCAAAAATGAAATGGAATGTATAAAGATGGATATCCTAGGCATTAGTGAGCTGAAAAGGACCGGTTTTGGCCATTTTGAATCAAACAACCATATGATCGACTATGTCGGGAATGATAGTTTGAAGAGGAATGGTGTGACATTCATCATCACAAAGGATGTTTTAAGATCTGTCCTGAAGTGCAATGCTGTCAGTGATAGGATAATATCCATACACCTACAAAGAAGGCCAGTTAATATGACTTATTGTTCAAATTTATGCACCAACCACCAAAGCCAAAGATTAGGAAATTGAAGATTTTTATCAACTTCTGCAGTCTGAAATTGACCGAACATGTAATCAAGATGTGTTAATTATCACTGGTGACTGGAATGCAAAAGATGGACACAAAGAAGAATGATCGGTAGTTGGAAAATCTGGCCTTGGTGACAGAA